GGTGCCAGCACCCCATGTGGGTACCAGATCATGTCTCAGCTGTTCCTCTCCTGATCCAGCTCTCTGCTAATGGCCTGGCAAAGCAGTAGATGATTGTCCAAGTCCTAGGGTCCCTGCACCCACAGGGGAGACCCAAAAGAAGCTCCTAGCCCCTGGCTTCAGATTGGCCCAGCTCTAGCCATTGCAGCCATTTGGGAAGTGAACCAGCGGATGCAAGATCTCTCTGTCTCTCCCGCTCTGTCTATAACTCTGCCTCTCAAACAAATAAACTTAAAAAACAAAAAACAAACAAAAAAAAAAACCACTGCAAGGGATGCCCACATTCTGTATCAGAGTGCATGGAGTCAAGTCCTGGCTACACTTCCAATTCCAGTTTTTTACTAATATACAACCTAGGAAATAGATGATAGCTAACATACCTGAGCCCATACCACCCATTTGGGAGAATGGGATCTAGTTCCAGCTCCTAGATTTGGCCTGCCTAGCCCCAGCCGCTGTAGACATTCGGAGAGTGAACAGTAGATAGAAGATCAATCTCTCTTCTCTCTCTCTACCTTTCAAATAAGTAAATATACTTAAAAAAAAAAAAAGCAGCAAGCTTTAAAAATATTAACTAATTAATTGTAACAGGAATTTCACTAAATTAAAAAGTAGGGATAATGGTTAGCTACAGTAAGGACAATCATTCAGATGGCTGAACACACTGCCAAACATCTCTCTCAGAAGAAAAAGATAACAATTATGGTATGACATGCGCCAGATACTGTGTTAATGCTTTGGATTGATTATGCCCTTTAATCCTCACAACCATTTTATCCCCATTTTACTGAGAAGTAACTTGCTCAAGGTCATACAGCTAATCCATTGCTGAGATGGTATCTAAACCCAAGTAGTCTGACTTTACTTTGTAAGACCAAGCAAACTGACAAAGAGATTCAATTAAAGACATTAGTTCCAGTGTTTGTTTTAAGGTTGGTACAAATCGGTCTATGTTGGCCAGCGCCGCGGCTCAATAGGCTAATCCTCCACCTAGTGGCGCCGGCACACTGGGTTCTAGTCCCGGTCGGGGCGCCAGATTCTTTCCCGGTTGTTCCCCTTCCAGGCCAGCTCTCTGCTGTGGCCCCGGGAAGGCAGTGGAGGATGGCCCAAGTGTTTGGGCCCTGCACCCTATGGGAGACCAGGAGAAGCACCTGGCTCCTGCCTTCGGATCAGCGTGGTGTGCCAGCCGCAGCGCGCCAGCTGTGGCGGCCATTGGAGGGTGAACCAACGGCAAAAGGAAGACCTTTCTCTCTGTCTCTCTCTCGCTATCTACTCTGCCTGTCAAAACAAAAACAATCAGCTGTACAACACAGTATATATTGGTCATCCAAAATATTGTAGCTTAGAAACTTTTCTTAAATTATTTACCAAGACAGTGAAATAAATAACATATTACATCACAATCACACTATCAAAACAAAGTTGAAACAGGTGGGTACTGTGCCACAGCAGATTAATGTTACCACTTAGGATTCCTGCATCCCATAATGAAGTGCGTGGGGTTATGTCCCACCCTCTGCTTCTAATCCAGCTTGCTGCTAATGTGCCTTGGAGGCAGCAAGTGATGGCCCAAGTGCCTGGGTTTGTCACCAGTGTGGGAGACCTGGATGGTATTCCAGGCTCCTGGCTTCAGGCTAGACCACTTAGCTGTTGCAGGTATTTCAGGAGTGAACCAGCAGATGGGAAATCTCCTCTCTCTCCTTATCTCTCTCCTTTCCAAATAAATAAAACTTTCAGGGGGCCTGCACTGTGGTGCAGCGGGTTAAAGCCCCAGCCTGCAGCACCAGCATCCTATATGGGCGCTGGTTCGAGTCCTGGCTGCTCCTCTTCCGATCCAGCTCTCTGCTGTGTCCTGGGAAAGCAGTAGAAGATGGTCCAAGTCCTTGGGCCCCTGCACCCATGTGGGAGACCCTGGAAGAAGCTCCTGGCTCCTGGCTTTGGATCAGCTCAGATCCAGCCATTGTGGCCAAATGGGGAGTGAACCAAAGGAATGGAAGATTCTCTTTCTTTCTCTTTCTCTCTTTCTCTTTCTCTCTCTCTCTCTCTCTTTCTCTCTCTGTGTAACTCTGACTTTCAAATAAATAAAGTAATTAAAAAAAAAACTTTTCAGAAAAAAAGTTGAAACAAAAATTGGCTACCCTTCAGATGCAGACATTCTGGGAACTAGAGAACTCCATCTTCCCATTTTAGAATATATGACACCTGGGCAGGCAATGTGGTCCAGTGAGTTAAGCTGCTGCTTGCAAAGTTGCCATCCCATATTGCATATTCAGCTCAAGACATTCCCAGCTGCTCCATTCCAGTTGCCTTTTAATGCACCTAAGAAAACAACAGAAGATGACCCAAATACTTGGCATCCTGCCACCCGCGTGGGAGACCAGGATGGAGTTCCTGGATCTTGGCTTCAGCCTGATCAGCCCAGGCTGTTGAGGGTATCTGAGGAGTGAACCAGCAGATGGAAAATCTCTCTCTCTCTCTGCTTCGCCCTCTCTGTCACTCTTCCAAATAAGTCAATAAATAAATCTTTAAAAAATAAAAATATGACACCAAACATTCCTTTCTTCTCTCTTTTCTACAACCCATCTTTGTCAGGTTAACCAATATTTACCAATGAGGCAAAGAAAACTGGCTATGTACAAAAAAGACAGATTAAAATAAGGAGAACTCTTTGTTAACATCAAAATTAAATAACATTAAAACGGCTAAAGAAACTACATGATATCTAAGAATGTGTCAATTATATCTGATGCTAATCCTTAAAATAGCCACATTTTAAGGCTGGCGCCGCAGCTCAATAGGCTAATCCTCTGCCTGCGGCGCCGGCACACCGGGTTCTAGTCCTGGTCAGGGCGCCGGATTCTGTCCCAGTTGCCTCTCTTCCGGTCCAGCTTTCTGCTGTGGCCCGGGAGTGCAGTGGAGGATGGCCCAAGTGCTTGGGCCCTGCACCCTATGGGAGACCAGGAGGAAGTACTGGCTCCTGGCTTCGGATCAGAGCGGTGCGCTGGCCGCAGCGCGCCAGCCACAGCACGCCAGCCGCAGCAGCCATTGGAGGGTGAACCAACGGTAAAGGAAGACCTTTCTCTCTGTCACTCTCTCTCACTGTCCACTCTGCCTGTCAAAAAAAAAAAAAAAAAGAAAGAAAGAAAAAAAAAGCCACATTTTAAAATGAAATTTCTTTTTAAAATTGCGAAAGGCTTAAGTAAGAACAAAGAGTTAGCAAAACAAAAAAGGCTTCATTGTGAGATATTTAAACTAAAGCAGCCTGGTTCTCATCCAAAGGTCTATCAGGAACTAGGGTACCAGGGCATTAAAAATAGCAGAAGTGTTCCAAAAATCTCAAGAAGTTTGAAAAGCACCACCCTACCTATTTAAGGGAGAAAGGAGGGAAAGCTGACAAAGGGGGTAAAAACGGTCTACCCTCATAGTCCATCCAGGCTTCCTGTGAGGACTGCCTACTTCTCACACAGGAAACAGACTTCAAGTACGAAGGACATAAAATCTAAAAACTGGACTCTATGGAGGTGGGCTTTGTGGTGCAGTGGGTTAAGCTACTGCTCAGGATGCATCCCATAGCAGAGTGCCAACCTGAGTCCCAGCTGTTGAGTTGTTGGCTTTTTTCTTTTTTTCTTTTTTTTTTTTAAGATTTACTTTATTTATTTGAAAGACAGAGTTACAAAGAGAGAGGGAGAGACAAAAAGAGAGATCTTCCATCCACTGATTCACTCCCCAAATGGCTGCAATGGCTGGAGCTGACCCAATTCGAAGCCAGGAGCTTCTTCCCGATCTCCCACATAGATGCAGGGGCCTAGGGACCTGGACCATCTACTACTGCTTCCCAGGCCAATTAGCAGTGAACTGGATCGGAAGGGGAGCAGCTGGGACTCGAACTGGCACCTATATGGGGTGCTGGCACTGTGGGTCATAGTTTAACCCACTGCACCACAGCATTGGCCCCATAAATAAATCTTTTTAAAAAAATAAAAATTAGTCTGTAGAAAATCATTCTAAATCAAATCAGGTATTTGCCTACACAAAATGTTTACAGAATTCTATAACCTACCAATCATATGTCATTTACTTGAAGGATTTTAACATGGCTCTACCTAGAGGCATTAGCCAAATCAGACATCCTCCTCAGGTATATGCCAACTCTAACTCCATGATACTCTTTAAACAACAAGTGAAAACACCATTTTTCAGCATGCAAATAATGATTCTAACCACAGCACACTCATCCCAAACCTCTGTGTGCCCAGTCCTGTGTCTCTGGGCATCCAGGCCCACAAAACACGCAGGCAGTGTTGTGCAGGAAGCTCCTGCAGGGAGAAAAGCTGGCGCTTTTGTCTCTGCCATGCATCAGCGAGCTCCTAACTTTGGGCAAGTCATCCTCTCTGGCCCTCCTCTGGAAAATGAGGGGACTGAGCACCCAACAGTCTCTACATTCTTGCTCTCTTCTAGAATTCTAACAGTTCCACACTTCTGTTCCAAACGTATTCTTCCCTTTACAGTCCCCATCGTTCCTCACTCTATGAGAAAATACGAGCAAGATCATCTTAGCACATTGTTTAAAGACCTCCCAAAGGCAGGCATCTTCTAAGCGCATGATACAACCCGTTTAAATGATGAGTTTAATTACTCATTCACTGCCTTTCATTCTAAGGTCAGGGGGTTTTCAGTCTTCCCCAAGCATTAAAGAAATACTCAGAAAACCTAAAGAAAGGTGAGGGAGGAATGAGGACCGGGGAGAAGAAAGCAGAACACACAATCCATTCAATCAAAGTTGTCTTCACTTGATAAAAGGGTTATAGTGCTATTTTGGGGAGGGGGTTTTGAAATCACCATGCTATCATAACATCATTAAAATAGTATCTTGTCTTCTCTTCTTCCTTCCCATCAATCCCAGTGTAGTCCAAAGTATCCCAGTGTTTCTAAGTATCCCAATATGGCAGAAGTATACTTACTATTTTTCAGGGCACTGGCAAATTCTGGACCACCTTTGTCCTTGAAAATAGGGAAAACATCTGGTTGAGGCAGCTGATTAGTGGTCAACAGAGCTTTCTGCAGTTTGATCCTTCCTTCTAAGAGCTGATCCCACAGTGCTAAAAAGAAAACCAGAATGCCATCACTGACTTGTCAAATCTTCCTGGGATGGAAGGGAGGAGGGGCAGGAAACCACGCCAATCTCCAGGCAGCATAGCTTTATCAGTTTCATGCCATGGAAACACTCTCTATTATAGGAAATAAATTCTGTATCTTGGAAGCAAATATTTGCTACATGAGAGAAGGAAGGCTAAAGCCCAAGGAGTGGGGAAAACACTCTTCAATCTTCCACAGTGGCCGGAAGTACTAGAGCAGAACCAGTTAAGCAGCTCAGCACAGAGGCGGCTGGCTAAGCATGGAGGAATGGGCTTTAGCCCTCTGGGTAAGCGGGGCATGTCACAAACTAATTGGAAGGACATGGAAAAGACAGCACAGCCAAAAACAAACAGTAAACAAACAAAAAGCAGATACTCTGAAAAAACAAGCAACAAAACCATGCACAAACCTATCTGGTTCTTCACAGCTCGTCCTTTTTCCACTTCCTCGGAAACTTTGACACTGGAGAAGGTCATCACCACACCATCGTCTTCACTGTTCCTGTCTCCAGCCCTGTCTTCCTCACTCTCACGCTCCAAGTCCTCCTCCTCATCCCCTTCCTCCCCTTCCTCCATGCCACTCTCTTCATCTTCATCCTCCTCGTCCTCACCGCTCCCAAGGTCATCCATTCCCTCAGTAAATCTCTCAAAGTCACTGATGCTCTGCACTCGGAAGCCTGGCGTGTGTGCAGAGCGGCTCCTGCTCCTCTTCTTCCTTCCCTCTTCCTCTTCCTCTTCCTCATCAGCATACTCCTGTTCCTCAGGGGCACTCAGGTCTTCATCAGAGCCCTCCAGACCCAGTCCCTCCGAGTCTGTATCTCCAGGCTCTTCCTCATCAGGTGTTTCCTTGTCTGAACAGGAAGGGAGGGAGGGAAGAAAGAAAAATTGGCTGTTGTTCAAAGAAAAATACCAGGCCATATCTTTCTTTTCAACTAAAGAATTATGGAATCGGGGGGAAGAATGTATTATTGTACTCAACTCCATTCTACAAATGTGTATTACCTACCTACTATCTCTGAAATGGCATGGAGGAAGCAAAGAATAGAACATGGATCCTGCCCTAATGAAAGGTTCTAGTGAGAAAGACCTGTAAAAATTGTAATGCAGGGGCTCACACTGTGGTGAAGCAGGTTAACCAGCAGTCTGCAATGCCAGCATCCCATATGGGTGCTGGTCCAAGTCCTGGCCGCTCCACTTGTGATCCAGCTCCGTGCTAATATACTTTGAGAAAGCACAGAAGATGGCCTAAGTGCTTGGGCCCCTGCCACCCACATGAGAGACCAAATAAAGCTCCTGGTCCCTGGGGCTGGCATCATGGTAAATCTGCCACCTATGACACTGGCATCTCATATAGGAGCTGTTTCATGTCCAGGCTGCTTCACTTCCAATCCAGCTCCCTGCTAATGGCCTGGGAAAAGCAGAAAAAGATGGCCCAAGTGTTTGGGCCCAGGTCACCCATGTGGGAGAACCAGATGAAGCTCCTGGCTCCTGACTTCTAACTTCAGCCACCTGGCTCAGCCTTGGCCATCATGATCATTTGGGGAGTGAACTAGCAGATGGAAGATATCTCTCTCCCTCTCCTTTTCTCTCTGTAATTCTTTCAAATCAATAAATAAGTCTTTAAAAAAAAAAAAAAAAAGGAAGAAGAAAAGCTCCTGGCTCCTGGCCCAGACTGATGTTGTAGCCATTCAGGGAGTGAACTAGTAGATGGAGGATCTCTTTCTCCCTCTCTTTCTATCTTTCCTTCTCTCTGTAACCTTGCCTTTCAAATAAATAAAATTTTTAATAAATAAATAAATATTGTAATACAGGAAAGAATCAGAAGTGCTTTGACAAAATTTCAATAGCACAGAGAGAAATTTTAACTGAAATGCAAGTGAATTTAAACAGTGCTTGCAACCACGCAAAGGACAGCATTTGAGCTGGATGATGAAGAATGCTAGCACTTCAACTGATGTTCAGGATTTATCAGTTTTGCCATACCTGAATCTGAAAAAATACAGTTCATCGTTAATTATCCCAAATGTATACTCTATCACATCAGTATATACTATTTACTGCATATTTATAAAATATGAGCCAAGTGTAGATGGATAAAGGCTAAGGCAAGGGGCCAGCACCGTGGCATAGCAGGTAAAGCCACCGCCTGCAGTGCTGGCATTCCATATGGGTGCTGGTTCAAGTCCTGGCTGTTCTTTGATCCAGCTCTCTGCTGTGGCCTGGGAAAGCAGTAGAAGATGGCCCAAGTCCTTGGGCCCCTGCGCCTACATGGGAGACCCAAAAGAAGCTCCTGGCTCTTGGATTTGGATCAGCGTAGCTCCAGCTGTTGCAACCATTGGGGAGGGAACCAGTGGATGAAAGACCTCTCCCTCTCTCTCTCTCTGCCTCTCCTTCTCTGTGTAACTCTGCCTTTCAAATATATAAATAAATAAATACTAAAAAAAAAAAAAAGGGCTAAGGCAAGACAAACATAATTTAATACTAAAGGGAGAAGATGACAGTCTGGTGGGAGTGGTGGATATGCATCTAATCATCACATTACAATGTCATTAATACAGAGTTCAGAGAAGGAACCACCAGCTCTTCTGGAAAGGCAAGGAAGGGCTTCCCTGGAAGAAGACATTACAATCTTACTTATGAAGTGTAAACAACAGTTACCAGACAGAGAGAGAAACAGCACTGGAGTGCAAAATGCACAAGCAAATGGTGAGAGGCGGGCCTGCAGAGCTGCTCAGAGATGCGATCAGGAAGAGTCATGTTTTCCTGGGAAGGAGCCTGAACTTGATCCTGCAGTAGACAGAGTACCAGTTAAGGCTCCTGGTTTTACTTGTGCTTAGGGCCATCACCTGATAACTCAAAGATTTTTACTGATTATCCAATCTCTTCCAGGGTAGAACATAAAAGCCCCATGTACAGCAAGGATGATTTTTACAAAGAAATCACTTACTGACAACTGTCTTCAATAAAATGAACTAGTTTTGAAAATGTGATGGGTCTTCAGTATTTCTTTATAGAGTTTTATAGGTGTGGTCATTCGGCCCAGTGGTTAAGTCCCTGGGTAAGATGCCCACATCCGACTAAAGTTCCTGGATTCAGTACCAGCCTCCAGCTCCTAACTCAGCTTGCAGACCCTGGAGGCAACAGTGATTGCTTCACTAACTAAGCTCCTGCCACCTATATGGGAGACCTGGACAGAGTTCCCGGCTCCCAGTGTAAGCTCTGACCCAGCCCAGCCCAACCCTAGCATGCAGGCACTTAGGGAAATGAGCCAGCAGATGGGGACCCTCTCTCTGACTCAGAAAAAAAAATTTTAAAGGTTTATTTATTTACTTGAAACATAGTTAAGAGAGAGACAAATATCATCCAGTAGCTGATTCATTCTCCAAATGGCCACAATGGCTGGGACTGAGCCAAGCCGAAGCCAGGAACCCAGAACTCCATCAAGGTATCCATGTGGGTGCAAGGGCCCAAATATGTGGGCCATCTTCCACTGCTTTCCCAGTTGCATTAGCAAGGAGCTGGAATGGAAGTAGAGCAGCCGGGACTTGAACCAGTGCCCATATGGGATGCCGGCATTGCAGGCAGTGGCTTAACCTACTGAGCCACTATGCTGGCCCCCAAAATACTTTTTTTTAAGAGGTATACATAAACTTAAGGCAAAGAGAAGGCTGTAAAAAGCATAAATACAAAATCTAAGTGCAAAACAGTCAACAGAAATAATCCTTTACATTCTTTATGCCATGCATCCCTCAGACCAAGAAACATTCATACACCACAGTAGTGCAGAGCACAGACTAGAGTCAGACTGCATTCATGTGAATCCTAGCTCTGCCACTTACTAACTGCATGACCCTGAGTAAGTTACCTAACAAATCTGCCCCTCAATTTCCTTATCTCTAAAATGGGGATATATAATACCAACCTCTTGGGCTACTGAGAGGATTAAATGAGATGATACATGTGATGATGATGGTGATAATATTTTTTGAGAACTTACTGCATCCCAGACTGTTAGAACTTAAATTAAAGAGCTAACCACAGTAGCTGACACATGGTGAGAGCTCAATAAATATTATCATATTTGTCTCATGATTGGTCTCTTTATCAGTCTCTAGGCAAAGCATATGAAATGAGCTTATCAGGAGCTCCCAGAACTACATCAAGGGCTACATCGCAGATATCATAACCTGAAGGATAGTTCCTTTTATACTATCTGTGGCTTCTCAACATGGCACCCTGACCTCTCTAAAGGAAAACAAATGGCATCCTCTTGATAATCACCATATTCAGCCCCTTCTTCCACTCAGAAACTTATAATTCTTTAAAAGTGCAGGCACACATCCTCCCAACTCTCTTGGAAGGAAAAGGGAAGCATTATGTTATTTTTACAATAGCAAAACGTGAGTTTTACAAATAACTAATGTTTACAGCGACTTGATGGATGCAAGAGCTGACAAACCAAAGGGAAAGGGTCAAAACCCAACAGCAGTGCAGCCGTCAGACATAGCACTTTCCCAGCACTGGCCCTCTTCCACAGCCTCCATGCACTGCCTCTTCTTTCACTCCTTGTAGGGAGAAACCACTAGTCTGGACCTACGGAGTGCAGCAATTTAATAACTCTGGGCTTCAGATTCCTGCTGAAATGAAACGCAGCAACCTCTAAGGCCCCTTCTAAGACAAATCAATGGCCTCTCCTAAGATAACAGGTAGGGGCACAGAGCCTGGTCCCGCAGAGATCAAAACAAAAACAGAAACAAAAGGATCTTGACCCTAAAAAATTACGTTACGATGCATTCCATGCAGTTATGTCTACTCACCAGATGAACCTGGCAGAGTCTGCTCCCACTGGTCTCCCTTCCAAGCTTTCCTAGAGATGGTCTTGCCAGAATACCTTTTGTCTGTGTCCAAGAGGGAGGCCGATGCCAGTTTTCTAATGCTACCGACCGCCAGGAAATCACCGTCCCCTTCTTCCCCTTCATCAAACCTGTCAATCACTCTGGCAGCAGTGTCTGTGGGGGGAGGCAGAAAAGTAATCAGATTCTCCAGGTGGGGAGGAACTTTCATGAGAACCCTGTTCGATCCTTCTGGCTCACCCTCGAATGTTCTCTCCAAGAAGCCCCAACTTCCAGAAAGAGCGAACTCACTACCTCTCCAGGTAGGCGGACCACAGCCTCACCGCTGCTGGCGACGGGAAAGTTGACTCCGCCTGTACTAGTGGAGACCTTGCTACGCCTCGGTTCCTACAAAACTAGTCTAATTCCACTGCCACAGGACAGTAGCTCCTCCCAGCAGTCATGCCCTAACTGCCCGACTCGCTGCCACCCTGCAGGGAGGTGGCTTCGCTTACCCTGGCTGCACAGTCCCCAGTTGCTTCAACTGGAATTCCCAAGTCGTGGATCAGCCCTAGCATTCCTCTCTCCTCGTTCTCCCTTCCTCGCACTTCTCCGCCTCAAGTTTTAAAACAGGATCACTCCCCCCCCAGAGCTGGAACAGCGGCTTACAGAACCGCAGGCTCGGCCGGCGCACCCCGAGCAAGCGTCTTGAGCTTGCTTAAACAGCACCAGGGAGTGCAACTTTTTCCTGGGTTCCCTAAGGAAGTTCTGGGGCACTGCTAGTCGGGAATATAAACCAGCGGTGCGCCTTCCGACCCTCCCTGCCTAACGCCAACACCGGTCAGGGCATTCGGAAAGGTAACCTTCCCCCGGCTATTCCTGCACTCTCCAACAGCCCTCGCCCAAGGTAACCCTAGGACCAGCATTCCGCGCGAGTGCTCGCCACGGTCGCCCACCCACCCGCGCACCAGGTCTAGGGTGCGCATCCAGATTAGCCCAAGGCCTCCTCCCGAGCTCAGGGGAAACGGAGCAGGCCGGGCCGCAAGGCTTTGGCTGCCTGTCCCTCCCGGGCGGCCCCCCGGCTCTCCAGGACCCAGTCCCGCAGCTCCGCACGTGGCCTGCCCCCGTCAGGCCTCACCCTCCTCCGGGTCGGCCTCAGGATCCGCCTCGCGCGGTCGGGGATTCAACAACTGTTCCAGCTGCAGCGCCAGAGGTTGCAGCCCCGCCATCGTCCCCAGGTCTCGGTCGGAACAACGCAGGTGAAGACGCAGCCCAAGCGCCGAGAAGGCACACTCTGTCCCCGCCAGCCGGGTCCTCACGCCCCGACACCACTACCGAGGACCGCGCGGAGTACAGCGCTCAGCTCCCGACCGGCTACTTCCGGGAGGCGCGCTCGGGAAGGGGCGGGGCCTGCCGCGTCACTGCGAGCGTTGCTAGGATCCAGGCGGAAGCGCGCGGAAGGCTGAAGGGGTTGTCACCGCCCCCTCGAGTGTGCGCGTGCGTGGAGGGGGCCGGCGCTGTGTTGGGCGGTGCGGGAGCGCGCAAGAGCACGTGACCGCCTCCGGAGCGAAGCAGGGTTTGAGTGGCGGGCGGCTCCAGACTTCGCACGAAATCTGCATCAAAATTTATACGAGATTGGCTTAGGAGTAAAGCGTAGTGCAGCCGTAGCCCACGGTGGCTGATTTGGAAAAGAGTAGGGAGTATGGGAGAAGTTTCTCGAACTTCCGTTTCGCCTTTTGACCCAAGGAGGCCCGGCCCCTAACCGGATTGGGTTTTTCACATTTCACAGGGGTCGCGGGCCAGGCTCGCGCCTCCGGCCCCTGGGCGGTCTGGTTTTGGGGACTTCTTATCAGGGATGTGTCTGTATGTGTAATGTGAAGCAGACCAGACCACTGGGGTCTTTAGTAATAGGAATAATGAGCTGTGGCTTCTCCAGGTAGCTTTGCCCCGGCAGGGAGAGGGCGATGAAGCAGGGATTTCTCTGCTGCACACCCCTCCATATGACTGCCTTTGCTGGTCAGAGGTGAGCGCAGCTGGGGCTCAAATGCGAGAATAATGAAGACTGGGCAGAGGGGCAGACTCAACTATAAACAATAAGGTGCATTTCATTGCGCGCAGGCACGTGGAAAAAGAATTTCTCTACATGTTCTCTCCTTCGTGGAGCATTCCCAGACTGCCCACTATGTGGCAGGCACTGCTAGATGAGATACAAGATAAGTTAGATTCTCTGCCTGCTGCCGTTGTCAGCCCCGGGAGGCTGACAAACTTGGAAACAGCAACTGCAGTAGGGGCTAAGTGTGAGCACAGAGTGGTCCATTCTAGCATCTGGGGGAGCAAAAGAACCTAGCACCGCCTAAACAAAAGGATCTCAGAGCCCCTTCGTGGGATGCAACAGCCCAAACCACTTGTATCCCACAGCTCCCCCGTGCCTCCCATCAAACCTAAAGGATTAGACCTGGGCTCCTGACTTTTACAGTCTTCCCACGTTCTCCGGGTCAAGAATGATGACAGGAGCCCGCTTGAGTGTGGTGGGTCCCATGTCCCTGTTGTGGGTGGCCCTTGAACAAAGACATCCAGGGCTGCCGCGGAACAGAAGAACTTGTGGAGCAAACTCCCTCGGACATGGTAGAGAAAGAATGCCAGGCTAGGCAGAGGCCTCAGACAAAATCATTCAGGCTAGGAGAATGTGCTAGGTTTGTTGTCTCTAAATTTACCCCGTGTAATTGCAGTCCTGTGTGTACATCTAAGTCCCCAGAGCAAAAAGAGTGCTCCTTGGGCCTTGACCAGGTGCTGGATCTGAAGTACAAAAGCATTTCTTCCATCCCACATGGAGGAAACTACCTCCCTCAGTCCTCCTCCCTTGCTATTTTGGGCACAAGAATCACCTAGCAACCTGGCCTTCCAGGTAGAGGCTGGAGACAGGGGAGAGGGCGGTGAGGCAGGGCAGAGACCTGTCAGGCAGACAGGACACTGCTGGTCAGCTAGGAAGTTGGGCAGCACAGACACGCAGCAGAGGGAGAGCCGCAACCCTGCTTCCCTCTCCTCCTTTCTCTGTCCTGCTCCCTGCTGACTCGGAAGACCTTTATGGGAAGGAATCCAGACAGCAGTACTGTCACACACATACCAGGGCCCCAAGTGCTCCCCCAGAGTGGCAGGAGCACTCCAGGAGGGGAGGAAAGAACTCTGAGACTTGGGATGCAACTTGAGACAAGCTGAGGCCAGGAGCAGGGGGCAGCGGCTCCAGGGCTCTCAGAGGGTCCTTCCCAAGTGCATTCCAGTTCCTTGAGAAGGGGGGATGGGAGGGTAGGGCTGGGCAAGAATAGAGGATGGACTATGGGAGGGGCAATTTCAAAAACATCACCCTCCTTGAAGATTTTTTTCCACCCCTGACTATGAGAGCAGAGATGTGCCGGGAGGTGAGACTAAAAGTGAGCAGTGCCCCTAAAGAACACGCCTCTCTCTGCCCTTTGCAACAAGTCAGGCAGGTGTAGGAACAGCATAGGGGAGGCAGGCTGACATTAGTCCTCTCCCCCACGAGTCCCTGATAACTTAACCTGGAGTTTCAAGAGTTTATGGAACCCAGGGTCCCCACAGCCTCCCAGACACCTCCTAACCCCTTCCCACCGTCCCGTTGCAAACCCTGGCCGCCGTGCTTGCCTTGAATCTCCCCCTGTGCTCCTTCCCAACCTTGCCTAGCTCCCAGAGCAGCGCCCCCTGCCCTGGCCAGCCAGGAGAAGTTGGGTGGGTGGGCTGCCGCGTCTTTGCAGTGGCCGCTCCCGGCCTCTGGAACCCGGAGGGCAGGTGGCGGGAGGCACAGAGGTGGCGGTTTTAAGATGGCCGCAGGGAGAAACCAGGTTGCCAAGCCCGGCGGAGAGGAGCAGGCTGCCCTCCCAGGCGACAGGGGACCGCGGGGACGCTTTCCTGCTGTCCGCGAGCCTCTCCCAGGAGCTCGGCGTAGGGGCAGTGGTGCGCTTCCCCGCACCGCGGCGCCGGCGATGGGCAACGCGGGATTGATGGGCAGGGGAACCGTCCCTGGCACTTCAAGACCACGTCTTCCCGGGCCCCCCGGCTCCAAACTCCCGACCTGTTCGGGCATCCGTCAGAGTCGACGGCACTGCGCAGAGGGGAGCGGCAGCGGCGGAGTGCGAATCCACTCCGAGTGCTCAACTCTGAAACGCTTCTTACCCAACACCCTGATTCCACAATAAAGCTGCTAAATAATTCAGTAGCCTTGATAGGAAAATGCAGCTTCCCAATGAGCGTGCATTCAGTTAAATGAGTGTGTCTTTAAAGAGGAAGAGAGTCATGGCTATGATGAATACATGAGCTATGATTTAATATATATAAACGCTAAAAGGGCAAAAAAGAGAAGCCGGTCCAGTGATTGCAAAGAAAGCAGAGAAAGAAGTGTGCTGCATCCAAAAGCTAGGAGTTTGAAAAGTCTCTCTTGCATTTCATAAATCTTCATTTCAGAAAGAACACACTCAGATCTCTGCCTGATTGTCACCCCCCCCCCATTAGATAAACTATCATATGGATGCAGTGAAATATTGCTTATTTTAAAGTCGCTTCCGCGGGAGAAACTTGGCTGCGTCTTAACAAAATCTGAAAACAGCACTGAAAATTACATACCATTTAATGTGAAACCTTTGATTTTTAAAAAATAAGGAAGTAAATAATCCAGACAGAAATCTAGGTGAAATGGGAAAGAAATTCTGGAACTTTGCTACTGTCTGACATGAACACACACACATATACCCACACAGTAGATAAAATATTCAAATTTCTTTCATGTCTAATGAAGCCTTAGAAGGGATTGAACTACTTTTCAGAACCTATTGGCAACGCCCAGTTGAAATTTGATTTCTATATTAGTTATTTGTGGTCATTTTTCAGAGAAACTGAATACGTATCCTTTGCCAGGCGAAACAGTTTTCTTTCTTGGAAACTTCAAATGTAACACATAACTATGAAACAACAATTTCCTATCAGTTCTGCGAAAGGGATTAAAGTATTTCATTTCCAGCTATGGTGTACATCCACTTTGTTATCTTTCAAACTACCAAATTCGAAAGCAGGATCATCTGTGGAAAATGAATTGAAGCTGGAAAGGACCACCTCTCCCAGTGTTCCCAGGATTTTGCATGTGCTGGGAGAGGGGAGGAGAACGCTTCCCTTAGCATGCCTCATCACAGTCTGAGACCACTCATTTTGAGCCATGGATTTGATTTCTATTTCAAGTTGTATATTAAACATATCAGCCAACATCTCTTCAACTGTATCAGTTAAAGCCACGGAATGCAAATCTGTACTTAACAACAGCAGGAAGCAGTGCAAGAAACCTTGGCTTGGCATTAGCAAAGGGCTGCCACCACACAGCCAAGGCAACAACGTATCATCCCAATCCTGCCTCTGTTCTTCCTGGCTTCCCAGGGCCCAGCCAGCTCCCCATCAGGGTTCCAATCTAGTTATTGAAAACATCGAATAACACACCAATTATCTAAACATCAGATTTTCTATTTTTATTAAAAACTCACAAATTTATTCAACATGTTTTCTTTCATACAGTGAATGGTCTAATATGCACTGGAGGTCACACAAGCTTAGGTTTATTAGAACAATAAAAGACATATGAGAAATTTAATATATAAAGAAAAAAGTAGCAGCTGTTGACTGCATATTTGACCATAAAATTTAAATATTTTTGGACTTTTATTTTAAAGACACAAAAATAAAACCTGTGTGGGTCTATATAAGTCATATTAACAATTCCATGAATGTTCAACAGGACTAAAAATTAGCAAAGATGGTTTTTCTTTTTTTTTAAACCTTGTAACACTTTTTTTTTTAACACTTTCTCAGGTTGCTGGTGCCACGCACCTTTACAGTATTTGTGCTATAATTATTCTATTTGGCAACTGTCTGAATATCGTGTTTTCTCTTTGCCTCGTGTAAACAACACTTTTTTTTTTTTTTACATACTAGCACAGTGAGCCCTGCAAATCTGTCAGAACATCTACAGGAAAAGAAAAGGAACAATTTTGGTTGATTGCTCAAAACATTTTGTTTTTGAACAAGAGGTTTCAAAACAGGATATATTAGTAAAACACTGAACTCCTGAATTTAACATTTATACGTAAACAGTTGACTGTTTTAGTTCAATAGTCTTTTTTTTTTTTTTTACTTTTTGTGTGTGAAGGTAGAATACTTTTTCTTGTACAGCTGATGTTCAAGTCATTTTACTGAGGTCTGACTGGAGACCGTCCTATCCAGTGTGTGTGTCTCTGTGTGTGTAGAGCTTTGTGAAGGTAGAAGAGTTGAGACTGAGGGCTTTACATTTAAGATTTTGCAATTTTGGCAAAAACAAAAACCAAAAACCCAGATAGACAAAAAATATATATAGAGAGAGTCCCACCTGATGCACAGCAGGTCGGTGTTTCTGAAGCTATAAGAGTTTGTTGCCGCTGTCGCTGCACTGAGACGCTAATGAGCGAATCCCAGAGCTAGAACCCTCACGGCTTGCCTGGGAGTGACCCGACTGCTTCACCTCCCGCACCCGGCTGCGCCCCAGGCCTTCCTCCCCGCGGCTCCCGGCATCACCGGGCGGCAGTGCGCGCGTCTGCGTCCGCCGTGGGCATCCTGGCGCCGCCGCCGCCCGAGGGTCTCTGCACGGATCCGGGGCCGGGTCCAGGTCGGAGGTGGGGAGAAATCCTTTCGGGAGCCCCAGTTCTGCCAGCAAGCATGCTGATCCCAGTTCCACCTCCAGGCGGATCTGGATCCTGCTTCGTGTCCCCTTTTCCCATCCAGTCTCCCTAGTCTTGAGCGCGGTCCCCGAGACCGGAGAAATCGAGTGGCCTTACTTTTCATGTGTTTTTTTTTTCTTTTTTTTTCCCCGTTTTTTCTTAAATAAAAGTTCATTTCTGTACAACCACGAACTTCACGCACCGTGCGAGACCCCGCTACCACACGGCCGCCTCGTTCATTTCTGGGGGGTGGGACAAGTGGTTCCCGTAGCTCGCCCCGCCGTTGACCGACAGCGAGGAGAAGGGCGGGCTGGGCCCGAAGACCTCGGCCGACATGGAATGCAGGGGCCCGGGCAGGCTGGGTTCGGGGCTGGGCGAGTCCCCAGGCGGGTGAGCCAGGATGTCGGTGAACCGCTGCGCTTCGCTCGACGGGTGATGGCCCGGTAGAGGGTGCTCCAAGCCGCCCAGGGGCGTCCCGGAAGGCCCGGAGGAGGGCACGAAGGGCAGGTCCACCGGCGTCTGAGCCTGCGAGGACGGGGGGCCTTGCGGGAAGAAGTCGTAGTTGCCCCCGGGACCGTAGTACTCGCTCTGGTAATCTGCGGGGCGGCGGGGAGCAAGGCGTCAGGGCAGGCCCTCGGGACGCGCGGGGCAGACAGGACACGAAAGCGCGCCCGTCAGCAGGCTGGGGAACGCGCTGCGCAGTACCGGCCGCGCAGGACGAGGCTCGGCGCAGACACTGGAGCCGCTGCCCCTGCTCCCCCTAGTGCACTCTGGACCGGGAATCCGTCCGTCGGTCTCACCACCTCCTCCCGATTTACCCCCCAACCTCGGCCCACCTAGCATCTTCTCCACAAAACGCGGGCGGCGCCCTCCGCGCACTGCCACCCGCATCCAGCGAAGCCGGGCGCCCCGCCATTCAGCCACGCACTCACCTCCGTAGAAGGAGAAGGGGCCGTTGGGGATGAGTTCGCCGGGCTCCAGGCGGTCCACGAGCGGCCGCATCCGGCGTGGACTTCGGAAGAAGGCGTGGCGCCGGGCGCCCAGCGCGCTCAGCTGCTTCATCCTCCGCTCCTTGGAGCGCCGGTTTTGGAACCAGACCTGAAGCACACGGGCCGCGGGTGAGGACGCGGAGCCGCCACTACTACTCCCCACCCCGGACGCCCGCGGGGTACAGCCCTTCAGCCCTCTACCGCGTGGCACTCCGGCTCCACGGTGCGTGTGTGCTGTGTGTGGCAGGGGGAACCTGGGCAGGCAGCCCTGTCCGGAGGGAAGCAGTTGCGGTGTAGTCTCGGGGTTGCTAACCGTCACACCGCCACAGGCAGTTTCTGGGGGCTGCACACAGACACTAAACCGCGACAAAAGAGTGCCGCACACTGTTGCCTTTGCACTGTCCCTGGAGGTGATAGTGACAAACACCGCCTCCAGTTGACACTCGGTCTCCCAAGGAGGGTGACACCAAGCCCCCGGCAGGCACTCCTTTTCTCACCTAGGCGCAACTTCCAAGCGCCAAGCACAGCCCTCCACAGCCGTGACACACACAGAACCTCCCATTCCCCGGCACAGGTGCGGCCAGGCACCTCCTGCTGAGAGGTGCCTGCACCTCAACCCTCCTGGGGGAAGGCACCGGACTCAACACCTAGCAGCACTGGACCAGAGGCACCAGCCAGCATCCTGTGCTGTGCCACCTCCTCCCAGCTCCCCAACCCCATGCCCAACTGCTTCCAGATGGCCTCTCCTCCCCAGGCCACTCTTGCCCAAGGCAGAGCTGACTGTGCGCTGGATGCCCCAACTTTCTTTGAAGGGGAAATCTCTGCTCTTGGCTTGTCTAACTGAGCCGTGACACCCACAACAGTGGAGCTGAGGACTTGGAGGGAGATGAAGTTGTGTGAATTCCGGAGGAATTGATTGATACCCACAGCATCCTCTCTGCTCCTTCCTAACCGGGGCTGGGGTGGGGGTAGGGTGTGTGTACAAAGAGGACTTCAGTAATATCCGCTCCCCCAGCCTCCACACTGAGCTCCCCACTCCTCCCTCTCCTTCTCCTTCCCTTGGCTGGGAAGAAGAGGGACTTCAGACGGGCAGCATTTCAAAGACAGGGGAGGCTGCGGTGTGTCTGGGTCTCTGCCCTATGGAACCGCATAGCCCATGCCCGCTGCCAACCTCCAACTGGCTCCCCTGTTCCACTCTGGGGGCTTCTCGCCTGGCCAGGATGCCCTGAGGGTTCTAACCTGGATGACGCGCATATTGAGCCCGGTCTCCTGGGCCAGCTGCTCTCGGATGTGGCGCGTGGGCTTGGGCGTGGCGGCAAATGCCGCCTTCAGCGTCTCCAGCTGCTTGGCTTTGATGGTGGTTCGTGGTCCCCTGCGCTTGGCACCCAGGTTCTGGTCATCGTTCTCGTTGCTGCCCCCTTCCTTGTCTGACACGTTGGCGCTCTCAGAGTCCTTGGCGTCGTCCTGTGATGGGTCTTGGGAATCCGGAGACAAACTGGGGTCACTGCCCGTGGTGGCTGGGGAGAGGCAAGGACAGGTGAGGGGGAGCCTTGGCAGGCCTTCCTCCCCCAGGACCCAGCTGCCCACCCCTGGAGAGCCAGGAATCAGGGGCTCACCCGAGTGGAGGCTGTTCTCTTTGGCGACACTGCTGTTACTTAGGTAATCCTCTTTGCACACGAACTTGTTCTCGTCAATGATGTACAGCTCCTCGCCAGTGGAGAGCTGCTTGTTACACATCATGCAAGTGAAGCAGTTCAGGTGAAACACTTTGCTTCGTGCTCTCCGCACCAGGTCGCTAGGGGAGATGCCCTGTGCGCAGCCTGCGCATTTGGTACCGAAACACCTGCAAGGGGTGGGCACAGGGTGGTCGGCAATGGGCACGGGGAGACGGGCCAGGAGGAAGAAGAGCAAGGAAGAGAGGGGAGGTAGAAAGCAGAAGTGGCGAATGAGAGGGGCAATGTTGGAGAAAGAGGCAGAATGGCGGATAAACAGGCAAAGAGGCAGGAGAGCGCGCGGCGCACCAGGGAAAAGTGAGAGAGGAGCTACACATGGTCGGAGCGAGGAGCCCCAGCTTCCCCCAGTCCCAGCATTATCCCATGGAGAAGGATGTCACTGAAGAAGGCCGCGACGGCGAAGGAGGGCTGGGGACTCTCAGTATCCGATTAGTTTGGGAAAAGTCAAATTCGAATTTGATCGCCCTGTAAATACGCCCGGAGCGCGCTGCTTTTCTCTCCCAGCGTCGCCTCTCTCGTTCCCGCAAAAGAATCGGCGCACAAGCTGGGGCTTAGCGAGGCCAGGCCCGACCGCAAGAAAACAAATGCGGTCGCAGCGAGACCCGGTAGCCGTGGCTGGGCTGCTGCCCCGTTCCTGCCTGAAGCCCGGCAGATTGGTGCAAGCGGGGAGCCGCGGCGGGGCTGAGCGGGTTCCAGACGCCCTGCTGCGTTCTGCAAGAGTCCGACCTCGGGAGCCTACCGTCAATGCGCAGGCCTCGCCGGCAACGGTTTCCGATCCAGCCGTAGTGGAGGAAACCCGGAGCGGCCGGCGGAAGCGCGAAGGCGCAGCTCGCGTTTCCTCTCGGCTGTACCGGCAAGTGCAACGCTCCACGCCGCCGCCGTTCCCATCGCCAAGCGTCCCTGAGCGGCCTTGGGGACCAAGAGCTCCGGGCCTCTGGGCAAAGCGGCCCGGGTGGCTCCGCATCCCTCCTGGCTCGCCTCTCTCTCCCCATTTTGATCTGTTACCACAAATTTGGAGAAAGCACAGACCAAGCCAGGCGAAACCCGTACATTTCAAAACCGCATGACGGAATTAACAATTCGCGGTTGCGCCTGTTGTCTGTTGACTTGTGTTTCTGTGGATGTGGTAGCAAAATAGCGACCTTAAGAAAATGCCATTTAAAGCTAAACGGAGGACGGGAGTAGGGCAAAGTCTCCCGGCTCCAACGAGCGAGCGCAATCTCAGCTTTGTCAACGGTTGGAAGTGGTGTGAGCCGGGAACGCGCTTTGCCTGGGACGGCTCGGGAGCGGTCCGGCCGACTTGCCTGGAGTGGTGGTGGTGGCGGGGGGGTGGGGGGGGGTGCAGGGGAAAGCTGGGACACTGCACAGGCCATGGTGCAGCTGTTTGCCCAAAGCTGGGCCTGGAGGCCGCTCTGGGTTTCGGGAAGGTTCTGGCGCCAGCAGGATCGACCTCGAAGCCGAGCTGTTCCCTGCCGCTGTCTCAGCAGGCAGCGGGGACACTTCGTGCCAAAGGCACCGCGGTTCCCGCCAAGACCGTTCAGAGAGCGACAAGGCAGCGGCAGGGAGCGGGCTCAGGCTTCTAAGCTCAGCCTCAAGGGCGAACCCCCTTGAAGGCCCGGAGAGCGCCGTAGCTGGAGAGCTTGGGTCAGGGAAAGACTGGACTCTGCCACGCTCGGAGGGGCTTCCGGGCCGGGGCGGGCTCAGGCTCTTTCTTCCTAGGCACGTGCAGCACCAGCCGGGACGCACAGTTTCCAGGACGCAAGCAGGGCCGCGTCCCGGGCGCCCAGCGCGCCAGCTGGCGAGGAGGCGGCGCCCGCCGGACTTGGCTGCGCTCTCCAGAGGCAGCTCCAACGCAGCCGCCGTGGCCACGCTGACCTCTGATCCGAAGCCGGCCGCGAAGGGCCCGCGGGGAGGGAGCAGCCGAGGCGCGGGAGGGAAGGACTCACCGGAAGAAGTCGTTCTTGCAGTAGAGCTTGCCTTCCCGGGAGAAGCACTTCTCGGTCAGGTTGCATTTACATTCACAACACTGGACGCACTTGACGTGCCAGGCCCTGTCCAGCACGTTCAAGAGGAAGCGGTCCAGGATGGGCCTTTTGCAGCCGGCACAGTGCACCATGGTCTTTGGTTTGGTCGGGGGAGGCCCGGAGAAGAGAGGGGCGAGCCGAGCCAAGGGGACGACTCCCGAGGAGGACCGGCAGGAGCTCCCTCGCCCCTCCAAGGAGAGGAGACACAATCCAAAACCCGCGCCAGGAGATCGAAAGAGGGCCAACGAGGCCGACGCTGGCCTGGGGGCGCCTCGACGGAGTATGAGCGCGCGGGAGTCCCAGGGCGCCGACGAGCCGCGCGGGGCGAGGAGGAGGAGTCTCGCGCGCGCGAGGAAGCGACCCTTCTGCCCAGAGCCCGCGGAGGAGTGAAGGTCACCGAGAACGGCGGCGGGAAAGGAAATAAAGAAAGAAACCGGAGACGGAGAAGAAGAGGAGGACGCCGCTGAGTTCTCCCGGGCTTGAGGTAGAGCTGTCAGAAGTCAAAGTGCATCTGCTTTTGCCGGGCGAGGAGGGCGGGCGCGTGCGTGCCGGGCTGCCCGCCGCCAGGGCGTCCTCCCTCTTTGAAGAAGAAGGGGGGGAAAAGGCCAAGGAAAGAAGCAAAGGAGTGGAGAAGCTTTGGATCCTAAACTGCCGGCATCGTGCAGCGGTCGGGGGAGGGGCAGGGGTTGGGGGGGCGGGAGGGAGGAGAGGGAGGAGGAGGAGGATCTCGTTGATTGCTGTTGTGGCTTAGGTTTCCCTCCTTTTGGAGAAGTGTTTGTGTCAGTCGGGAACGGAGAGGGACAACTTCGGGCAGACGCAGCCAAGGCGCACTCCTCGCTCCCGACCGCCCGGGCCCAGTCACCTCGGCCTGTGGCTTGCCCGGCCTCCGTGTCCTCGGGGCAGCCCTCCCAGCGCCCAGGCTCCTGAGAGGAGGAGACGCTGGCTGGCTTCTCACCGCGCCTGGCTACGTACGGTGGCTCCAGTCACAACTCGCGGCTGCCTGGGCGCGCAGCCCCGCATCGCTCGGCCCGCGCTCCGCCTGCCTGCATCCAACCCCACAGTCGCTCGACTTTTTTTTTTTTTTCTTTTCCTTTTCCCCCTCTCTTTTCGTTGTAGTGGCAAATCTGGGTTTCGTTCCTTTTTGTTTTTCCTCTTTTGCCGCGAAAGGAGTCGGGGGGAGGGGGCCGGCCTGAGAGCTTTTTTAAAATGTCCTGGTGCAGCGGCCACAGTAGGCTGGCGGCTGGAGCAGCTCCGCGGTCCGCCTGCTGTCGCCGCCCGGGCCACGGCTCGTTGCTGGCTCTCCCCGGGCGCGCGTCCCTCGGTCCCTGGTCTCCTGGCCCAGTCCGCTGCCCCGGCGCGTCTCTCCCCAGCTCCGGCGGCTCGGTCACTGCTCCTGGCTGTTGGCTGAGCTCTGCAAGCCCCCTCGCCTTAATGCAGCGCCCGACGACGTCACGGCAGCCGGTGACCAATCAGCGCCTCGCGGTCCCTCTGTAAACCATTCTGCGTCCCCCGGCCCGGGAGAGTGCGGGGAGACCGCGTTTCGAGGATCAGTGGCGGCAGCACCCGCGGCCGCGCGCGGCGCGGCGCAGGCGGCGGGCGGCGAGGTACCCGGGCCCCCTCCTGCTCCGGTAAGGCGTTGGTCTCGGGGGGGAGGGACCGAGAGAGGGCGGGAATAGGCACAGGCGGAGGCCAGAGCTCTGCGGGAGGGTGGGGTCATCCAAGACCGAGCCTCGTCCAAGGTTGGGGTGCAGCTGGGTCCGGCAGCCCCGGTGCACGGTTTGGCTTTGCAGTCTCGCGGGCGCTGTCATTTCTGCCTGTCTGCGCCTCACCTCCGTACTTTCTCCGCCTGGAAGTTTGCCCCCCGGCACAGCGCCTGTCTTTGGAGGGGTAGGGGGAGCTTGGCAGCAGGATCTCCCTCCTCCCGCTCCTCTTTTGGTACGCCCTCCCCCGGTCCATCCAAAGTCCACAGGGGCCGGGGCTCCGGGAGATCTGGGTGTCTGCCTCCCGCGGCGCGCTCTTGGAAAGTTGATTCAGGCGGTCTGCTTGTGGGGGCGGGGGAGACCGGAGGTGCAGCGCCCTGGAGGTGGGGAAGGAGTGGGTGGGGAAGAGCCTCGGGTGGGAAGTTGCCACCCTGGCGAGAAGTTGTGAGAAAATTGTGATCCGGAGACACCTTTTGCAAACAAAAACAAACGACCAGGCGGGAAACCGCGGGGCTCCATCGCGCGCGGCGGGGGGCGGGAGGGGGATGTAGGGATTGTGGTGGTGGGAAGGAGGGGGACCCTAGGGGCACCACGAGGGCCTGCGGTACATCAGTAGATTGGGGTGTACCCTGCACAGACGGAGGGTGTCCGGCTTCCATTCCTCCCCAGGCTTCAGGCTGGCCCCAGCTTCTGCAGACAACAGCCGAACCTATCTTGCGATGCCCACTGCTTAGGGAGCCCGCACCTTCCTAAATTCGCTCTGGACACACACACTGGGGCCCACCACCGACGGGGCGGACTTGCCCTGACGTGGGGGGCGGATTTGGGTATCGGCAGCCCTGGCCCTAAAGAATTACTCCAGTTTCCTGGCGCACTTAAGTCAAAATCCGTTTCGGCTGCAGTTTTCCAGGTTTAGTCCGGCTTTCTCCCCAGGTGGGGTCTGAACGTAGTAGTGCGGAAGGCGGTCCCATTTTTGCTCCTTAATTTCGTTATTGAGAGGGGGATTTAGGAGGCTGTATTTGGCCTTAGTATGGATGAGAACAAGGGTGGCATTTTGGAATTGGCCTTTTGACCCCTCTCGCTATGCGGGGGCCAGACTTTCCACACGGGCCTGGGACCAGGTTGGCGGAAAATGCGTGCAGAAACGGAGTTGCAATGAATTTGGGCTGGAAGGGAATCCCGCTCGGAAAATTCAGTACCCTCTTCGGACGAACCGGGAAGCGGCCACAGCAAATTTGGCGTGGGCTCAGTGGGGCTGCTGGGTTTTAGTAAGGGCTCTTCCTACGCTCCGGCTGCCGTCCGCACCGCACCGCAACCTCGAGGCGCCCGAGGAAGCCCCCGCCTTGCAGCTGGCGTCACCTTTTCATTGAGAAGCGAAGCCGCCCGGGCTCGCCGCGCGCCTCTTTGGCGCTCCGCCCAGCCCCGACCTCCCGGGACCATGCCCCTAACGTCTTCTACGCACCCCCCTCCCCGCCCCCACACTCACACTCCTGGCTGGACTGCGCGAGAAGTTGATCAGCTCGTGCGCACCAGTCCCCCGCGCCTCTCTCTTCCAAAGACCGGACTCAGGGCTAGGCAGGGTGTGCACAAGACGGTTTTCAGACCTAGCGGGCGGGCTCTGCGGGCTCGGACTTGGCTTTGCGCTCCCTCTGCGGATCCGACCCCGCCTGGAGCAAGCCGACCCGCGCCCGGTACTCTGGTACCCCCGAAGTCGCAGAGATCGGCGAGGCGCGGGCTCTTCACTTTGCTTGGATCGGAGGCGCCTCCAGCCAGCTGCGTAGGATAAGGCCTGCGGGGAGGAGCCGATGCAGCCGAGCGGCCCCCTCGCTCCTCCCTCCCCCAGCTGTCCCGCGCTCGCCGCTAGTGCCCTCGACCCAACCGCTCCTTTCTGGAATCTATAGCGGCCCCAGTCCCGGGTGGCTCGCCCCCGCCCCCGCCCCAGCTGGGCTCCTTCTCATGCAAAGCAGAGGGGCCACAGGGGTGGGGGTTGGGGGCAGCCGTCGAAGCCCTACTGGGCGACAGCTGAACCAGGCTGCCAACAACTCTTCCCCCAGTCCAAGGCCGGCCGCCTCTCTCCGGCGGGCTGGAGAAGGTTGCGCCATCCGTTTTGGGGTGCAGAGTCCTCAGGACTAAGGTGTGGGACCAAGAGGCCCTTGCCCGCTGGTGGGCGAGCGCGGAAGGGGAGTTGGGGTCTGGGCCAGGATGCTGCCTCTAGCTCTCAGCGCTCCGCTTGCTGGAGTGTCCAGATGGCGCGGTAAACAGATCCGCGTCTACAAGGGGTCCAGGAGCGCAATCCAAGGCGCGTCTCTTGGCTCCGGGTCTAAGTTTAAAGTCCAGATTTAACGCCTCTAGGGCGACAGCACACTAATTTTTTTTTTTCCGTTTCCGTTGAGCTTGAGTTTTAAAAGTAAGCAGTCTCAGACAAGGAGAGAAAACAGATCCAGCTTTCTAAACTTGCCGTCTCCAAAGCATTTAAACCAGGTACTCTAGGCGAAGAGCGGCGACCTTGCTCTGTTCCACCGAGGCCGCGCTTATTGTCTGCGTCCTCCTGCGCCCCTAAGCACCTGCCAACCCAGCGCCCCACCAAGGTGCGTCCACTGCTCCAGGATGGGTCCACTGCTGACGCTGTGTCACAGACTCAAGCTTAACGGCCGGCTGGACCATCGATGGCTCAGCGGCCCACAGAATTCGCACCTCTCCACTCCTAGGACCTCTGGAAAAGGCCCCAGAGGGCCCAGAAATTGGCCTCGCAATTCCCCAGGGGAGGGAGCGCTGTTCAGAAATGGGGATGGAGAGTGTTCTACCCACCCCCGCCTGACCCCCGACAGTTTGGGGAGCTGAAGGCTCCCCCTCCTGCACCCCTTTGCCTCCCGCTGCCTTTTTGGTCCCAAGCCTCCCTGCCCTTCCTTCCTCTCCACGTTGCCCAGTGACTCCTGGTCCCATGGATGAGCCTACCCAGTCACAGTCTGAGACTGTCCCCAGAGCTAGGGCTGTCCCCGGCCACTTCCCTCCTCTCCCATAGCGTGCCTGTCCAGCCCACCGTCCCCAGCAAAGTGCGAAGAAGAGGGAGGCATCTTGGGGGGGGCAGAGCTGGCTCTGGGGGGTTAACCTGTGCAGAACAACCAGGATCCACAGCACCCCAGCCACGCAGGTCCGGGACAAGGAAGGGAGGAGCGGAGCCTGTGCGCCCCTGGATGCCGCCCTTGGTGGAGGCTTCACGAACTCCCTGGGTGAGGATGTGGCTACTGATACGCAGGGAGCAGTTAGGCTGGGGTCCCTGAGACCTGATCGCGAACTTCTGTCCCCCTTTCTGGAGCTCCTCTGGCTCAGGTTGTCTCTCCATCACAGCTCCTTGCTCATGGAACCGATCTACTTGTGTGCTGTACTTCCGCAATTTCTTTCTCCCCGGAACCGCCTAGGCAGGAGCTCAGGGGCTGGGGCAGAAGGAAGGGTGGATGTTATCTTTGCATTCCCAGGCAGGGAACCCAAGCTAGGGGTTTGCCGGAGATTCCTGGGTCAGTGCACTGTGTGGAGGTGAGGCCAAGGAATGAGCTGGCCACCTTGCTCCAGAGTGCACTTTGCCCCTAGCCAAGTTTTCCGGTAGGGGCTTGGTCAGCCTATGTGTGAGGGGACCGGCGAAGCCGGGACCAGGCTGCAGAGGGCCTGAGCATCAGGGTGCGCACTCGGCCTGAGTATCACGGTGCGCGCTCGGCCTGAGTAAACAACGCTTGCTTTCCCACAAGGGCCGCAGGCACCTGGGGTGCGGGGCTGCGGGAGTGTGGAGCCGCCAGGTCGAGCGTGGCGATCTCGACTGCAAGTCAGCGCCCTGCGCGGAGCGACCACAGGACAAGGACGGTCTCGGAAGAGACCGGATGAGAGAAGCAAGGAGCGAAGAAAAAAGTGAATAAGGGCGAAAACCGAGAGAAGGGGAAGAAACGCAGGAAAGCCAGCAGGGATGAAGGGCCGGGGGTGAGGAGCAGAACGCGTGAAGAAGAGGAGCCAAAGAAATGGAAAAAAAGCCTCCAGAAGAGGCAGCGAGGAGGGGCTCGGACCCCCGGAAGATGCAGTCTCTCCGGCGCTGCTAGGGCAGGACCCCAGGGCTCGCGCGGCGGGCGCGTTCCGTGGCGGTCTATTCGGTGGGAGACTCAGCGCCCGTGGAAGAGCGTGTGAGCGGCTCCGGGCAGGAATCCAACAAATAAATAAAACGTCTAAGACGGCGTGACAACAATGTGTATTTGGGTGCGTGCCCGTGTTCCTCCGTCTGAGCGCACACTCACACCCGGCAAGGAAGACAAACGGGGCTTGTGCCTCTCGGTAATTAATCCTCTCGCTAATTGACTCTCTCCCCCTACCTAATGGCGGTGGGCGCTGCCGATATCTGGAGAGATATCCGGAGCAGGGAGGGGTCCCCGAGAAAACCACCCCTGGGGCTGGGGCTGCGTTCCCTTTGGACTTGGCAGTCCTCGGTCCTCTTCCCCCACGGTGGGCAGAGTTCAGTGGATGTTGCCGCCTCACTCCTCCAGGTTTGGGCAGTAGGAACAGAGGTCCCCTGCTCCCAGGCACAGGGACATCTACAGCCCTCCTGTTGGGGACCGCAAGCTTGGGGGGCTGAAAGCCCCCCACTGCCGGGCATTTCCTGCCACTGGGCAATGCATGTGTTGTTGCCCCAGGACTGAAGACCCCATGCGAGGGGCTTGTAGTCTCCCTTTGCTCTTCCCAGGACCTGGGTGGGATGCGTGTGAGCTGCTGTCCCTAGCATGGACATGGGAGGTTGGTATGAGGTGGACGGGATGGGGTCGAGGGAAGATAGGGACAGCTTCTGAACAAACCTACTTGGACAGGATGGAGGGACAGAAGTACAGAGAAGTCCAGTTGCCACCTGGTAATGGTGAGAGAGGCTTGCAGGGACAAAGAAGGAAAAAGGTCGACACCCGGCATGGAGGGCAGAAAGGCAGCCAGGTCTCTGTGCCTGTGTGACCTCAGCGGGGCCAGTTCCCATCTCTCTGTGGGGGCATGGGGAGGGCCCGCCTCTGCTCCCCCCATGGCACCCTCAGTTCCCAGGACTAGGGAACGGAGATGCGGAGAAGGTGTCGAATCTGGATCAGTCCCTTGGGAGCTGAGTTGCAGAGGGGCCCAAGGCCCACAGTGCATCAGCTGATGCGGCTTTGGAAGGTGACTGTCAACTCTCACCCCCATGAGGTGGCAGCTTTGCTCTGTGGACCCCCTCAGAGGCTAAACAAACAAATGCTGAGATCCATAATCCACCCTGCCCAGGGAGAAGAAGGAGGGGGAGAGCAGCTCCCCAGAAAAAAAAAAGCCCCCCCTCTACCACTAAATGTGTCCTTAATTGTCCCTTGGGAACGTTTGTACATTTGACCAAAGCAAATCCCCAAGCAGTAAAAGCAAAATTAGTCCTAGGGGCTGGTGGCCCAGGGAGAGCTGGGGCTGGACAGACGGGGGAGGCGAGGAGATGGCCGGCATGACCAAGAAAGGGAGAAACTTGGCTCGCCGTCTCTGTCAAGCAGGAGGAACAAAGTTCCAGAGGAAAGAGAGAGAAGGGCATATAAAAGGCAAATCCAAGCCAGAAAGGAAAGAAAGTGAAGAAGAAAGAAGAAGGCAGGGAGGGGGGAAGAGACGATAATAAAAGAGGGTGAAGGCGGCCCCAGGAGGCTGGGCCTCGTCCCAAACCATCCGTCTTCATTGTCTCCGTGTGTGCAAAGGCGACTCCGGCATAAGGAAAAGCCACTATCGGAGCGGCGGCTTTATTTTATATCCTATACATCAGGAGGGAGGCAAAGCTTTATTTTCGCCAAGAGGCAGATATTTTATTTCTCTCTTACGGTTTTATGTGTGAGAGATGTCAGGTTGCCACAATGGATGGCTAATGCATAGGCAAGAGGAAGCCGTGTTGGCATGCTGTGTGTCACGGGGTCTTGGGGGGGTGAGCGGGCCTGGGATTTAGGGCTGATGGGACACTCTGGGGGATTTCTGCTCAAACATCTCTCTTCATAAATCCAGCAGCATGGTCAGCTCAACAGGGAGAAGAAGGAGTTTTAGAGGGAAAAGAGTTGGGCTTAGTAATAAACGAACACACAAAGGAACCGCTTACCCTCCAACGGGCGCAGGCAGTGGGGACACGGCAGCCCCGAGAAAACACGGAGACCCCTGGCCAAACCCACATGCACCACTGACAGCAAGCATTTTCCTGACACAGTTGCGCATCGGTCTTGCTTCCTTTTCCTGTTTTAGGTTTTGCTTCCAGGCACCCCCCCCCCCCCGCCGTGCACGCCCCCTTTACCAGACATCTTGTTTTAACCTGCTCAGAGTCTTGCGGGGAAAGGGCCATTAATTTGGAACTCATCTGATCTGTGAAAGGATCAGGATGCCTGCTTTTCGCCGCTCTGTCCTGTGTCTTGGGTAGACACACACAGCCCCTGATGCAGCAGACCTGGAGAGTATAGCAGTTGCTAGATCTGAATCTAAGAAAAACTCCCCGCCCCAAGATCTACAGTCCAATGAAGCTTAGATCCCAAACTGCATAACATCCTGTTTCTAACCCTGGGAAGATGATGGGGCGGAGAGACAGAGGTGGAGTCTGGACCACCATGATCCGTGTTCCCCCACTCCAACCCCCCAAGTCACTTCTTACCGAAGTTGCTTTTGTTTATTCTCAATTCTACTCTTAGTTTTTTGCGGGTCTTGGTTTCTATCTTCTGTGGAGCTATTTATCGCCTGCCGGAGCATCGGACACAACACAGGATCCCTAGGCAGTGAGCCTGGGGACCCGGCCTCAAAGACCCTGGCCTTTAACCTTTCTGAGCCTCAGTCTCCCCGTCTGCACCACAAGAGGATTGGGCTAAATGACTGCCGAGGTCCCTTGCAGCTCCAACCTCCCCTGGCCTGGGGAGATAATGTGTGAAAACACTTTGCACATGCTAAAGCCGGACGAATGCCAGGGATTATTATGACGATTCTAATCAATCCTCTTTGCTCCACGTAGATCTGGACTGTTTAGCGCCAGCAAGCAGGCTAAAGAGAGCCGGCAGCAAGAAAGCTGAAGCTTAGCAGAGATGGAAAAGCTCTGTGCTGTGGACGGAAAAAAGCCTGCATCTCCAGACAGAGCCTGTGCGCCCCACCACCCCGTACATGGAGGGAAGGGGTGGGGAGAGGAGGAGGCCCGACTTGGTGTGACCCATTTCCGTCTGTACGGCAGCAGAGAGTATATTTCTTCAAAAGCATCATTGGCCTCCAAGTGACTGACATAGGAACCTGATGGGAAAGTGATTTGCAATTGTTTTTTTTTTTTTTTTCCAGGAAGAAAGGAGAGAGCAAGGTGTAGCTGATTAGCAAGTTAATTATTTCAGTACCCCAAGGGTTGCAATGTGGTGGTGAGTTGTCCAGCCCTGGTGCAATTTCACAGTCCATGCATCTCCTGGTGAGCACCCGGAGGGCCGAGTCTGTCTCTCTCCATCTACCTGCCTTGAGTCTTCCTGCTATACCTGGGGGCATGAGCAGGGGCTGGGAGGCAACAGGATCTACACTGGGCCTGTGTTGTGTGTGGGGGCCACGGAAAAAGGGTGAAGGAAGGCTCAGAGATGCCATCCCCTTCCGCTGAGTGTGTAATTACCTGGCCTTCTCTGCTTAAAAAAAAAAAAAAAAAAACTTTGGTTTAATAAATATTAATGAGACAGGGTCTCCAAGAGTGGAGTTGCCGTGAGGTTATTTCCCCAGACTTAGCACTGGAAGAAAGTGGGTTTGAAGGGCCCTCCTGTCTCTCCCTTCCTCTTAGCCCTGGCCCAGCTCCCCCATGCTCCTGTTGGATTTCCCACCTCTGGCCGGCACCTGTGCTGCAGCAGCCTCCTCTATCTGACTTCCAGGTCTGAGTTCCTCTTGGGGGAGAGAAGGGGAGGATTGCGTGGTCAGACGCACACCTCATCTCCAAGAGATAAGTTGGAGATGTGAGCATTAGCCCCAGAATTAACAGCTCCTGGCTCTTTGCTCTCCCGGCTGCTAGGGCTGGCCCCCTGCTGCCCCTTCCCAGAAGGCTGAGGGAGGGCTCTACAGTTTACTTAAGAGTGGTCCCATCTGCTCAGCCTGGCCTTTCATAAGGGGAGGGATTTATGCAGTGTCCTTGTGCACAGACCTGGGATTTGGCTGAAAACCTTGGGCCTCTGAGAATATTACTGAACGCTAAAATGTTCAGCCGCGGTGATGATTCATGGTTTTGTCTGCGTGGACAGGTTGCCTGTGTGTGTGTGTGTGTGTGCGTATGTGTGTGTTGGGGAGTGCACACCCTGATGGGTGTTTGTCACTGTTCTCGCTCTGCATACAAATGTTAGGAAACTTTTTTCCTTCAGTACTCACTCAGGGGCCAGCCCCTGGCACCGTGCAGCAGTGTGAAGTGTGAGCATGATACCATTCTTTCTGGGGTCGACACTCAGCTGTCCCCAGGCAGGTCGTTCAATGTCTCTGCTGGTGCAGTGGGGCCAGGGCTGTCTGAAAAGATGGTTCTAGTGGCTGCCTTGGTGCTGGTGGCAGAGGATTTGGGGAATGGGGGCGGAATGAGGCCAAACACAGCTTAAATTGGACGCAGCCTAGGGGATCTCGGTAGGAGAAAAAAGGCAACGGGAGAGACTCAGAACACAGGCAAGCGGGCAGAGGGAGGAGCTCCTTGTCTCAGTCGGGGTCCTGCAGGAGCGGAGCTCTGAGGCTGAGTGTGCAATCTGGGCCCTGACTCTCGGGAGGTGACAACCTCGGCCGATGTGGGGAGACCTACGAGTGCCATTTCTTCATCACCTTTGGGGACCGAATGCAGTTTCTCCCCTGCCCAGTGGCTGGGGAGGAGGCACCTGCAGCTCCTTTGACGTTCCTTTGTGATTCTGCCACCATCCTGCTCCTGCTCAGGCTGGGCCTGGTGGCCACAGACCCTAACTCCACATGGGAAGCTCTCCTTCTAGTCCCTTCTCGTCCATTCTAGCCGGCTGACTGTCCTGACTGTTGGCGCACACTTGGGAAGGAGGACGGGCAGGCTTGAGACTCCGGGCGGGCGGTTCTCCTGTGGGCTCTAGGTAGGATCTGGCTTTCCCGTAAAAAATAGGAAGCAGGGAACCATTCCTGTGTACAAGTCGCCTAAAGGAGGCTGTACAGCTGCATGGACACACACGTTGCTCCAGTTCTTCTTTCTCAGGAACTAGGGAATGCTTCCTTTGGTGCCCCTGTTTTAACACATGCAGGGGCGTGGGCCTGCCTCTGACAGACAGACGGGGAGGAGTAGGCGCATTCCAGAGACCACGTCTTAGAGTGTTATCTCTTCCCCAACCCCAAATCCTCACCTTCCTCTTTGTCTGCCTTTACCACAAATGCAGGGACTGCCTGCCCAGAGAGGTGGGAAGGGGTGGGTTTTAATCAGGGCTGGGGGAGGGGGTGTAGGTGAGCCTCAGGAGAATGGGGCCAGCTGGGGTTTGTAGCCGGTGCGCCTCTGTTAGCCTCACGTGTTGTGCGTGCGTTACATCCTACAAACGTGTGATTCAGTCATCTACAGCGGACGCGCACATTTGCCAAATGCTGCCTGGCCAAAACAGTGTTAAATAAAATCGTAAGAAATGCTACTGGGGCCTTGCATGGGTTATTTAATTCTATCAATGATAAACAACGTTAATGTGTAGCATCTTGGTCGGCACAGTATCGTGTTTCATTTATAGACGGCGAGATATAGTTAGGCATGAAAGATACCGGTTTCCGACACATACATTTCCCAGTGATGACTTCGGAGAAATGTGATAGAAACAGCAGAAACTGTTCTCTCTCCAGTAAACCTGCACCCTGCACACAGGCTGCGGGTCACACAGGCGCAGGGCCAGCCAGCTGTGTGTGCAGTGTCGTACATCTTCAGCAGTAAAAGTCGATGCTGTTACGTTCGGATACACAGCCGTGGATACACGCAGCGACGCACACACCAGGCACCCTTTCCAAATCTTCAGTACATTTCTTACCTTTTCTCACACACGTACGTGTGCTACTGCCACGTCCCAACATGCCTCCACACACAGGGACTCCTTTGCACAGCAGCTGAGCAGCCGTATGTAAGGGGCTTTCCAAAGGCTTGCAGAAAATGGAATTAAAAGGTGAGTTTTGGTGCCCAAAAAAATTCCACACATGATTGGTTTTCAAGAAGCTTGTGAAAAATGTGGATTATAAAAATGGATTTCAAAAATTTTTGCACCAAAACAAATGTTTAATTTTTTTTTTGGTTGTTGTTAACATTTATTCTTCATCTAGTTGAAAGACAGAGACAGAGAGGGAGAAAGAGATCTTCCATCCTCTGGTGTTCACTCCCCACATGCCCACAACAGCCAAGCCTGGGCCAAGCCAAATTCTATCCGGGTCTCCCACAAGAGTGACAGGGGCCCAAGCACTTGGGCCATCATCTGCTGCCTCCTAGGCACATTGGCAGGGAGCTAGTTGGGAAGCAGAGTAGCCTAGACTTGAACCAGTAGTCCCATAGGGGATGTGGGTTTTCCAAGCAGGGTATAACTTGCTGGACCACAACACCCACCACTCCATGAGCCTTTTGCAGCACAATCACACATTTATGCATGCACAAACACTGATGCTCACTCGCGTGCTCCGTTTGGCCAAGGAATGAGTAGCACCCTGTGACTTCCCGAGGTTGCAGACCTTGGAAGGGCAGTGTTTGAGCTAGGGACTGTGTGTGTCTGCCCGGTGTGGCCCTGAACCTTCAGGATGGAAGTCTTGGAGGAGCAGGGTGAAGACGCCAGCCTGCTTGGCCTCCGAGGGGAGGAATACAGAAATGCTGGCGTGGGCCAGCTGGGCCCCAGCACAGGCGCTCCTTCATGTTTGTGCGTTTCACAAACGTGTCCCAGAGGACACCTGAGCAGTCTCTCTGGTCTTGCTTCTGCTGCCAGTCAGCCGTGTGAGCCTGGGCCACCTGCCTCGGGGCCTGTCTCTGCATCTGGGAAGTACACTCTCCTTCTGCATTCCCGGGGGGTTCAGTTCCAGGATTTGCAGACACCGCAGCCTAAAGACATTCAAATGCCTCAGATGAAACAGTGCAGTGCCTGCCTGTAAGCTACGTACATCCTCCCTGGTACTTCAGGTCACGCTGATCACTTGTGACCCCTAAGGCCGTGCCCTGCAAGGGCTATGGAAATAGCGACGCTGTACAAGAAAAGAAGTCTGTCCATGTTCCATACGGACGCAGTTCTTTCTCCTGAATAGTTTTGATCTGTGATTGCATCCAGAGGCAGAACCTTACAAGACAGGGCTGAAGGTACTGGCCTAGACCGGGGAGGAGGCGGCGCGTGGCGGGGGTTGAGGGATTGTCTGTCCTGGCTGCACAGTGACTCCATCTGGAGTCAGCCTTTCCAAAAAATGCAGATGCCGGGGCCCCATTATCTTTGGACGTGCGTCTGCAGCGCCTCATCTCGGCAGAGCTGATTCTGTGTTCCACCAAGGCTGAGAACCACTGCCCTGGGTGGTCTCCAGGGCCCCTCCAGCCTTGAGGTTCTATGCCTCGGAGAACCTTTAAATACGACGGAGGTTCAGAAAGGTCATGGAACATGTGTATTGTGGAACAACTGTGCATAGACGTCACAACTTCTTGCACACAATAAACTTGTCTTTTAATTCCATTTCCTGCAAACTTTTTGAAGCACTCTCGTCTGCAAAGCACTCTAATAAGGACGCTGTGCTCAAAGCCCCAGGTGGATTCATGCAAGGTCATAAAAAGCCGATCCGAATCATTTCCATTCCATATAGGAAGACAACCATTTTGAACAAACCTTATTTTTGTTTAGAATTCTAAATTATTTTTAAAAATTTATTGAGAGAGAGAGAGAGAGATCTTCCGCCCACTGATTGACTCCTCAGATGCCTCCGACAGCCGAAGGTGGGCTGTCACGTGCTGTATCTGAGAACACGGTAACCGGAAGCTGGAAGCAGAAGCTGGGCTGCGACTCAAGCTCAGTACCCGGATATGTGGTGTGGGCATCCCCAGCAGCATCCTAGCTGCTGCACCAGACACCTGCCCCTGAGCAAACCACCTCTATCCTGTGAAAGCTCACGCCTGCGCTTCCAGTTCTCCTTCTTCTCTGCTTTCTTTCCAGTCTTCCGTCCTCTGACTCGCTCATCCGACATGAACTAAATGCCGCGTCCACAATACCACAGACACCTGAGAAAAGTGATAGATACCTTGGCTGTGGCACACACATTTCCCGCCTGGCTCCTCACCCTACCTGTTGCCTCTCATGCTATTTTTAGCAGGATAAATGATAAGGCACAGGCCTCGGGAGGACTGTTCTCCCTCTCCCCCAGCCCTGAGCTGGAGCACGCCAGGGCCCCGGGCCTCGGGCTGTGCCCCAGATCCGGAGCCTGGAGCCGCAACTGAAGAAAGCCCTGGCCCAGAAAGCTGCTGTCGGGCCTGGGCCTTGGGGAATCCCATGTTAACATTCTCCAGCAATGGCTCGCCAGGCTGTCCCAGGGCCCCTTGACAACAACCCTGCTCCCTGAGGCCACCGTGCAGGAAGAGGCCAGGCCCCGCCTAGACCCAAGCTGAAGGCAAAGCGGCAAGGACCAGGATGCAGCCTGCAACCCCAGGCCCCTTTCTCTGATGGCAGGAGGTTAAGCGTGGTGTGGGGGGGGGGGGGGGCTTCTGTCGTGCACCTGCAGA